CCCCCCCCCCCCGTAAATACGTTCTAGATCCGCGCCTGTCGTAATGATTATAATTTCAGTTTCTTCTTGTTTTAATCTTTCGTTTTTTTTTTTTAAAATTCTTTTAGATATTTGATTGGGTGAGGAAAAATCAACCCGAGTCTCTAAAAAAATTAGTGCCGATTAATGGTGATGTCACTAAATACGAACTTGGCATCAGCGCATTGGATCAAAAAACGTTAATTGATAACGTATCTATTGTGTTCCACTCGGCAGCCACCGTTAAGTTCGATGAGGCGCTTAAACTTTCGGTTGCCATGAATTTGTTAGGTACTAAACGATTGGTGCAGCTGAGCTACCGTATGACCAAGTTAGAGGTGAGTGCTACACAGATATATAGTTTCTAATTATCGTAAAAACTAGTTAAGTTAATAGTAGGTAACTTTAAGTTAACTGTTATTGAGCTTTTGTTTGTATTTAGTATATAAGTTTCAATAAAAACTATAAAAATTCATTGCAACGAAAAGACTATTAAAGGACGTAATAAAATTGTTTTAAACCTCACTTTAAAATAAATCGGTCATAATAATAAATTACTGTTTTGTAAAATTGTTGGTTATTTTGATTTAATCTGATAAAAAGTATCACTTTCATTATAATTTAAAATAGTTTGTGAAAACTAGAAATAAATATTTGATGAGATGGGTTTACCCTAGTCATTTCTAACATTTCGGATATGAAGAAAAACATTTTTAATCTCTTAATTTTTTTCAATGAAATACAATATAATTTATTAATGGATTATTCACATGTATTCGAAATACTAAGATAAACTAAACTTAGGGTTGGTATTAAATTGTAAGGTATTAAATATCTAAGTGTATATTTTCACATTTTAAAAATGATTTTGTGTAGAAGTCGCTTCAGTAGGTAGTTATTTCAGTTTTATAGAAAACAAAATACTAACTTGGAAACTATTTTACTTTTTATTAATTATAAACCGTATACAGTTCAGTAAGTACAAATGTAAATATTTAATTAAAATGTAAGGACTTTACTTTAGTTAGAACTCGTTATGGCAAATATAAGTTGAATATACTAATGAATTAATAACGAAATCAACTTCGGAATTAAAATACAATTGAATGATACGACTCACGGCAATTTTGGAAATCATAAATTATATTTTATAACATATGTTTTGGAAATTTTTAAAATTTTTTTTCCAAAAATTGTTTATAATAATTTAATTATGATTAACTAAGTTTGTACATCGCTTCAAAACTGTGGTAAAAAATTTCATAATTTAATGCCTGGTTTATAACCACAGAAAACAATGCAAAATTAGAAGACGTGTATTTTAAAATATTAACTTACAGCAATACTTAGTCTTATACTGTATACATGAGGTGCATTGCTCAACGTAGTTTAACACACAACAAATTAAATTAAATTGTATTACATTTAACATTTCGGAACACCTAATATAATATTTCATTGTCAAATGGCCCAAACCTTAAAAAAAGTCAGATTGATGATAAAATATTTTTTTTCAGACTTATATTTAAATAATTTATTTAACAACCAAAAATTTCACATCTCTATGAATATGCGATTTAGTCGGGGATTTATCGTTTCCATTGGTTATTGTTCATATTAGCTAGTGAACTAATACTTAATGCATTATATATCAACTCGACAGCTATCGATTCTGCCGACTACTTCTCAAACTATCTACTTAAGTATCGATATCGCCTAGCGATAAATTTATAAAAAAATTTAAAACTCGCTAAAAAATCTACACTTCATTTATATATTACTTTTATTAAAACAATTAATACATAACACAATATGACAATGTAATTATGTTAAATGTATACCTAATACACATCATTTTTTATTTTTTTCAAATGGTATAAATACTGATATACATGATATTGGTTGGCAGGTAATGCAATAAACAAACTATCAAAACTTTTATAGTTTACAATTTTAAATATTTACAATTACTAGGGAGCTTTGTCCGCTGCTCGTTTCGCTCGTAAACTCCCAATACCCATGTCTTACGTTTTTTCATAGTACTTTTTGTCATAGATAGATTTTTTCTTTGTCAAATAACTTCTATAACCCTCTCTTCCTACCCACAATGATAAAATCTGTTATCTGTATGTTCTATACATAAAATATGTTAAAGAGAAAAAATTACGCAAGGAAAATTTTATATTTAGTGGTGGGTAAATTGGAAGTTATCATAGCCATTGTTCTAATGACAACTTAATTTTTATTATGAAAAATATAAATAAGATTCATGGACATTACATAATAAAATACAATTAATATTTTTATTACTATCATAATTATTCATAATGTTTAGAAGATGTAAATATGCAAAACAAATTGTAAATAATAACAGGAAGATATAATTATATAAAATTTATAACTTGGCGGAATCAATAATGACTGGATTCGTCTATATAGGCATGAACACGATATTATGACGGAATCAATAACTGCCTAAGTCGATACAAAATCGGCCATTTTGAGCACTATGCATTAACTGATAATATAGACTACTAAATTAATAATAAAGATAATAATCAACTAAATTATTATTGGCGTTCTCTTAAAATAATTGATTCTTAGGATGAGATATTCTAGCACTAAAAACAGCTCAAATACTGTACGAAAACCTATAATATAGGTAGTAATACACTAATAAAATTAATTATTCCTATAAAAATATTGAATAGTTAAATTAGTTAACTATTGAGTATGATCGATATTATTTTAGACTTTTATATACTTTCCGAGGTAATTATTTTCTCTACACTTTGTAATAAAAGTTACTATTTTTTTTCTGTTATTACTCATACAAATTATTTTATTTATTCAGTGTAAATGTAGCATGCAGGTACTTTGAGGGCAATTTGATGATAAAACATTTTGTTGGAAATAATATTGACATAGGTCAACATTCTCTGGACAGAGAATACATTTTTAGATTAACACAAGTCCAGGGAAGGTGGAATTTATAAATCAATACATTGAAAAACAAATTAATTTAGTGATTATGTGTATAAAATCTATACAAAGGCTACATTTACAAATCTTAATTAGTTAATGGATGTATAATGTATACGGTCTTTAAATGGTTATGGCAGTTGTAGGGTATGTATATGATTTATTACAAGAAGTCGGAAATGTTTGAATTGACATTTCTTTAATAAACTTTAGATTGTGTCGTAAGAAATATATTTTTAGACATTAAAACTTTTAGTACCTGATTGAAATTACTTGTATGTAGTCGTTAATAAACTATAGATCATTGAAATATAAATGAAAAGTGGCAAAGTAGGCAACCGCTCTGCTGAACTGTAGGTGTTGAGTGTACTTCGCCATTGAAGAGTAAATCACTGTAACAAAATATGTGTTAAATTTGAATTCAATGATAAATCATTGAGTACAAAACAAATTCTGAGCGAGGACTTTAATCTGTCAGCCTACATTACGAAGTTTATTTTATGATAAATATATTATATTGCAATTAAAGTAATTTATTTTACTATTATGCCTAACACCGTATAGGTTAAATTAAGTTTTTCCATAATATTTCATTTAAAATGTGATTTTGTGTGTAAAAGACAATAATATACATTAAACATTCCAAGTACCCACGATTATATTTTTAAATAACAAAAAAATACCTAAAATCTTTATTCTCTGTCTAAATACCTATCTAATTTAATTTGAATTTTAATCTAAAATGTCTATAACTACTAAAATTAATATATTTTGGATATTATACAAATATATTGTGCTAATATATTTTTTGCATTAATATTAACTACCTCTTTAACTTGTTTAAATTTTTCAATTCTGAACTACAAAAATTAAACATTTTATAAATACCTATTCAACTACAAAATAATATGCGAAATTACACGATTCTTACGAATTTCTAAACTATAACTTTAAACGATTTAAAAAAAAAAATATTGTGACTAAGAATTTTCAATATTTTTCTATTAATATATGAGTATAATATTGTGAATAATCAATTATTAAATTTTGAAATTTTTAACCTATCGAAATATTTTTGATATATTCTAGAAAAAAAACTAGAAAATGTCTAAAATGTCAAACGTCTACGAACATTTTTACCAACACTTACAAATAATTAGGATTATTCAAATGTCAATCAAAATATTTAATCAATTTATTAAAATTACTTAAAGTATTAACTTAAAGATGGAAGTTTAATAAAAGCTCGTATTTTTTTTACCGGCATTTAAAAAAAAGTTTAGTTTAAAGCTATATGCATATATATATACCTATAAGTAGATACATTTTTAATGAATGTTTGAAATTCAATTTTTGACTACATTGGATATTTAAACGCAGGTATAATTTGCTCGATATACATATCCATTGAGTTGATAT